GAAAGACTTTCCAAGAGTAGCTTTTAGTCATCCATTTTGCTCCTATCAAGCCTAAACACGGATGATTGATTAGTTTTAATTAGAAAGCTGCGCTACAGTCTTGGTGAAGATCATCCAGGTCATAGTCATTCCAATAAAGTAAAAAAAAAAAAATCCACTGGAATTTTGTTTCCAAGTTTGAAGACGTTTCGTTTCCCATCCAGGAAGCTTTTTCAATTACAATGTCAGAATTAGCGTTGAGTTCGAGGCTTTATAGAGTGGACCTAAAAAAACAATTGTTTTTGGTTAGAAACATGCAAACTGAATGACACAAAGTGAGAATTGAAATTAAATTAGATTAAAAAAGCTTCCTGGATGGAAAGCAAAACGTCTTCAAACTTGGAAACAAAGTCCATTGAATTGTTTTTAACTTTTCTGGAATAACTGTGCTACAATGTTAATGTTAAAATCAATACTGTGTTTGTCCCTAGTTTAAGCTCCATGAGTTGATTATGGTTACACAAAGGAAAATACCCAATAAAATCCTAGGTCATAAAAATCTAATTTCATGAAAAGAGCTTCAGTCCAAAATGATTTTTTTCTGTAACAAACACAGCTTTTTGAGAAGTCAGTTTGATTTCTGATTTATGCTTTGATAGCCAGCCTCACAGGATCCAGCTCTACAGATTTTAATTGTCATTATATTTTAACGCATTGTGTCATTTTAGTACTATTCCAGCAAAAAAAATCTCTGTGCTAGCTGATCCATGTTTTCCCCACGACTAAAATCAGAAACAGGTCTAGTGAGCAGAGAACAACAAACAGATACGATCTAAGCTAATCTATTTACCTGTGAAGCTCACAAACAGATCATTGAACAATTTACCACTTTATTGAGAATCGTCTTCTTTACATGGCTCATTGGTTACAATTCCTTATTAATGATAAATATGATGTTAGGTCAAAACTAAAACAGTTGATAGCAGAGCATGTGAGCGGAGTGTGGAGTGAACGATGGAGCGGAGAGGAAGAAATATGGTAGAGTGCAGAACTGTTTTCCATTCAAAGGCCGGAGCGAGGATTTCGATTCGCTCAAGTTCGCTCTGACGTATCACAACGTCAATTAAAAATGTTGGATTTTAAAATTTGTAAAATAACATTTGATTTAAGTCTAGTGAAATAAATTATTAATTAAATAGAAAATGCTGCACAACATGAATGAAGCGTGGGGTTGCGTTAACAGCTGGGAAACCGTGATAATTTAAGAGCCAGTTAAATAAGACAATACACATGTATGGGTACCATCATTAAATCAAATGCCGTGTGTCCCAGAGCCCTGGCATAATTACATGAAGGAAAAATGTCAGAAAATGCATTTTTCAGAAAATTTGAGCGAGCGTGGAGTGCAGCAGGAAAATTAAGGCGAGCACGGAGCGTCCTGGTACAACTTTGAGCAGTGGAGCGAATGAGCGAACATCCTCCTGAATGGGGAGCGGGAATTGCACGGCGCTCTACTGCGTTCACATGCTCCGGTTGGTAGACATCTTTCTAACTACCTGGAGTTGTAATACCAGAACAAAATAGGAGAGGTGGAAGGTGTAGAGTCACCATCTCTATGCTATATATTTTTTCTGCCTAGCCACTGAACCTGGTAAGTCAAATCTGCACAATTTAAATCAAAAACTTTTTGACTCCACATCTCCCATCTCTGTATAATGGACGAGCTAGCTGTCCATATAGATGTATGTCGGATCCATCACCTGACAGTCCTGAAGCAGGGAAGGGACTGATACTATCGCTGAATAGATGCAACAGCTCTGATGAAAGCCAGGAATGCATCTGTCTGCTGAGTTGTCATCTTTTTCTCAGCACCAGTAAAGAACCAAATATGCAGGCTTTGGCTTCTTAATACAACAGACTAGTAACACTAAATCCAGCTCACAAAATGACACAATGTTGCATTCATGAAAACAGGATTTCAAAGATATTTGGAATAAACCAAAATACCTTTGTACAAATCAGAAGTAACTCTAACCCAACTTCTAATCAGCAGAATCTGTTCTTGGTGTTGAAATATCCAGCTTAGACAAAATTGTTTTAGTTTAGAATTTGAAACAGAGATCTAGGAATCCAAAAAAATTAATTAAAATCCAAACCAAACAGGATTTATGGGGCTTCTTCTTTAATTTAATTAGGGTATATTGGCACAACACCCATGAATATACTTTCTTTGTCCTTCAAAGCCACAGACACAAGCATGCAGGCCTACTGTAATGGAGCTTGAATGTTGGATTCTCACAATAATTGTGGGACTTTCAAATAACAGCTTAGACATCCTTCACCAGATGTGATCACATGATGACACCAACAAGATAAACTCAAGTCCAATATCCTTCACATCTGTGGCAAAGTTTGGTTTAAATCCATTTTCTTTCAACAAGATGTTTGTTTCTGATTAAAATGAGAGAGCAATCTCTCAAAAGATGATAAAACGATATTAAAAGAGCAAAGGAAGCTTAGGAGGTATGAGTTAATCCTGTTACAGGCAAGTTCCCAGTTTGAGCCTGTACTCTATTTATCTCAGTCACTCTATCCATCTTCGCCTGATCTCAGTGTTTAGAGGGCCTGATAGCACTAATTGTACTGCACCCTGGTTTCTGTCAGTGTGCAATTTAGTTTACCACCATCAGCGTATGTGTGAATGAATAAATGCTCTGCTTAGGGGGGGATCTCAGAATTGATTAAAGCTCTAAGTAAGTACCATAAACAAAATATTTGCTTCTAATGACATTTTATTAAAAATGTTTTCTTTTTATAAACATCTTAAGAATTAATAGAAATATGTTTGATTTGGGGCTGCTCAGTAGGGTAGTGGGTAGCACTGCTGCCTTTCAGCAAGAATGTTGCTGGTTTGATTCCCTACCCTGGGTCTTTCTGCATGGAGTTTGCATGTTCTCCCTAAGCATGTGTATGTTCTCTTCCTCCCACAGTCAAAAAACATGATTGTTATGTTTATTGGCTTCTCTAAATTCTCCTTAGAGTGTGTGTGTGTGAATGGTTGTTTGTCCTGTTTGTCTCTGTGTTGCCCTGCGATGGACTGGCGACCTGTCCAGGGTGGACCCCGCCTCTCGCCTGTAGACAGCTGGATACCAGCACCCCTTGCGACCCCGCTTTGGATGAGCGTGATGGAAAATGGATGGGTGGATGTTTGATTTGCAAAACAACAATCAGACCCTTTTTCTAGTTCCTAATAATGCATTTAGCATTTTTCAGATAACATTTTGATAATTTACTAATAAGTCTAGTGGGTAATAACTAGGTACAAATAAAAGAGAACCTTAAACCTAAATCTGGCTGGGGTATGAATAATTTGAGGGCTTCACTTTAATACACTGCATGGTTTCAATTTGATTTGAAACATAGCGCCATTTTAAAACTGATAGATCTCATGCTATAACTAGTGTTGCACCAATACTGATACCAGTACCGGGTGGGGCCCCGATCCAGCCCTAAAATGGTGGTATCGGTATTGGAGAGTACCAACAAATAGGGCACCGATACATTTTGAGAGCCAAAAGTTTATTAAACTATTGTCACCCATTCCAGGTAGGCAATACGAAGTTCTACTGGATTCACTTTGTTTTTGTTTTAGTCTTTTTCCTGCTTCACAAAGGTAGGCAGCAGCTTGACAAAGCCATGATGGCAATTATTTTACATCCAAGTAGTATGCAGTTCTTGATATATATATATACACACACACATCAATTTCAAACAGATGGTATCGGTATCGGCTGATACTGCACAGCCAGGTATTGGGTATCAGTATTGGGGCCAAAAAATGGCATGGGTGCAACACTAATAACCTTTCTGACAAGAATTCAAATTCAATCAAAAACCGCTCTGTTTTTTTTTCTCCAAAACTTTTGTTAAAAGAGGGTGCACAAAAATAATTTTTTTAAATAATGATTTTATCCATTAAAGGTAAAGATGCTTTAACTCTGTCATATGTGGGATAGTCACAATGCCATTTATTAAATCACAAATAGCTTTGATTAAAAACCATTACTTTTTTGGAAGGCCAGTTTGAATTTGTCTAGCAAATTCCAGGCCAAATTCCAGACGGATCCATGTTTATTTATTTCAGTTATTTTTTTTCTAATCTAATTCTGTGTTTTGTTTATCCTATGTTACATGTATTTATCTTTGCTATTGGGTGGTGAATTTAATAAAGTATCTATCTATCTATCTATCTATCTATCTATCTATCTATCTATCTATCTATCTATCTATCTATCTATCTATCTATCTATCTATCTATCTATCTATCTATCTATCTATCTATCTATCTATCTATCTATCTATCTATCTATCTATCTATCTATCTATCTATCTATCTATCTATCTATCTATCTATCTATCTATCTATCTATCTATCTATCTATCTATCTATCTATCTATCTATCTATCTATCTATCTATCTATCTATCTATCTATCTATCTATCTATCTATCTATCTATCTATCTATCTATCTATCTATCTATCTATCTATCTATCTATCTAGTTACAGGTTTGATTCAGTCTGTGCAAAAGCATTGAAATGTTGTGTGGGTACCAGTTAACTATGGATATCTTTCTTTTTCCATAAGGTCATGCTAATTATATTTCTTCTGAGAATCTTTGACTGACATTTAAAAGTTGCTAAAAGATCAGAATAGTTGGTGTATCTCAAGATGGGAATTTATTTATATTTTATGTTTGACAAAATCTACCCAGCTTTATCGATGAGAAAATCAAACAGCTTGTGTCCGTGTTGTTCCTTTCATCACTTTCGGACTAATAATGGACTAAAACACTAACAACCTACATCAGTCTGCTAACAAAGCACCCTCACGAAGCCCAAGCGACTCGAAGAGAAAAAAAGAAAACTAGTTTTTTCTCACAATCTGCATTGAAAAAGCCTTTTTCATTACTTGACCTCATACTCTTTTCAGATTTGAACTCCATTGCAAACAAAGCTGACCTGCAGCTCTCTGCTCCTCTTTTGCAGTCCGATGTTGAGGGCCTCCTCTGCCTCTAGCTTGGTGCTCGTATTGCTGATCTCTAAGTCTTTCCTGCAAAGAAGAAAGGAGCAGAAAAGCATAATTGTCAACAACCAGAAACCAAATTTAATGAGGTGTATAGATGACTGAAGAATGCATTTCTCAATATGTTATTTTCATGGCTTCAACATCTAACATAGCTTCACTGAACCGTGCGCTGAGCTAAACTGGCAGATTTCATATCCTCAGAGGAGCTGGAAAGCACATCACTTCAGAAACAAGGTGAGTCATAGATTTTATTAATGTTGAGCAGGGTCAAGCTGAGGTGTCTTTTCTGACACCTGGATCCTTTCTTCTTTTGATTGTAGCTATGAGATACAGTAAATACATCTCTTTGCTGTCATTTTACTGAGGCCAGATAGAAACATGTCGATGCCGTGCCCGTAGAGCAGGTATTCTTTGGTCTCTGACAGTCCAAACATAAAGGTGTTTGGAGATTTAGTGTGAAAGGCCACCACAAACTACTTCTAATAGTTTGGAAACTAAAAGAGAATTTTAATTATGTTTTTTAATATTCTTTTCAGCTTTTTATGCATTTCTGTGAATATCATCTGGATACAGACATTTTCCAAAAAGAAAGCATCTGTTATCAAATATTTTCAGAGATTTACAACAGATTCGGAACATAATTGGTCATTTACAATATGGTAATGTGTTGGCTTTCTTCAATTTAAAATGGGTGCATTTGGTGAAAAACTTCAACACTAGACTCATCTGATTAGATAATCTTCAATGCTTGTTTATTTGTATGTCAGCCTTTATCAGTCTTTATCAGTTTATCAGTGAGCGTTTCACAGCCTCCATGTTACTCATAGTCGCAGAAGGACAATATAGACATAATAAATTAACAAAGATGTCAACATCTCTGTGTTATTATATGTTGTCAATACTATTATGATCACATTATAACTATACGAAGAAAGGTAAAAGTAAGCACACTGCAAAAAAATTAAATCAAAGTAAGTCAATTTTTCTTAAAATAAGAGCATTTTTTCTTGAATTAAGCAAGTAAGTGAGACTCATTGCCAATGGAATAAGGCAATTTACATTAAAAATGAGAAAAAACAACTGAGGTCTCTTATTTCAAGTGCATAACATCTAACTATTTTATTTTAAAAGTAAAAATGCTCATTCCATTGGCAGATCTTCTTATTTAGCTGTTCAAATTAATGCAAAATACACTTAATTTAAGACATTTTTACTCATTTTCAGGTTGTTTTTACAGTGCAGAACTATTTCCAATGTGTTTTAGGAGCAGTAACTGCTGTGCTGCAGAGGAGTTTTTAGTCAGAGCCTAGATAGCAAATAAGTTAATTAGACAATATGCACTTAAAATAAGACAATGCAGTTGTGTTTTCTTATTTTATGTGTAAATTATCTTGTTCCATTGGCAAAATGTCCCTTTTACCTCCTTAATCCAAGAACAAATGGACTTATTTTAAGAAAAAATTACTTATCTAGATTTAGAGTTTTTCTAGTGCAGAAGCATGGCGGGGGTGCGAGTGAAATGGAGTTCTTTCTGTGAAATTAACATACTGTAGCAGCCCATTTGCTCAGCCAGTCTTCTCCTTTTCGTTTAGGGGTTGTCAAAAGTATCGATACTCAAAAAAGTATCGATACTGAAACGTTGTATCCGGATACAATACTCATTTTGAAAAGTATCGATACAGTGCTACCACCAGTAGCACCTACAATGCACTTTCAGAACACTGCGAGATTGAATAATTCTGTGCACTTTTCAGTTTCAGACTTTTTTGTAAGAGGTGCAGCTGCTGAGAATTATTTTTGTTTCTTAGCCGGTTTGGCTAGCGTCATTGTTATGTGTGCAAAGCATAGCCAAGGAAGAAACACTTAATTTTAATTTTATAAGTTTTTTATCAAGCTTGCGTGATATTGTGCACAGCATACAACCTCAAAATATAGTTTTTATTGTTTATTGTATTTATTTATTGTAGTTTATTTATTAATGAAAATATTTCTGTAGAATTTTGGAGTCTTTGTTTTTATCCTTGTGGTATCGAAAATGGTATCGAGTATCGAATATTTTCCTTAGTATCGGTATCGAGTTGAAAAGTTTAGTATCGTGACAACCCTAGTTTCAGCACAAAATTGCACAAATTATCATGGCAACGCGTTTCAAAAATTTCTTATATTTACCCTTAATTTGAGTAGGTAAGTAAGATGAATGGAATGAGTATTTTTACTCTTAAAACAAGATTTAAATAAACCTGAAACATGACGATGCAATTGCGTTTTCTTATTTTAAGTGTAAATTGTCTTGTTCCATTGGCAAAATGTCTCTTACCTTTTCAGTTCAAGAAATAATGCACTTTTTTTTTTAAAGAAAAAATGACTTATCTAGATTTTGATTTTTTCCAGCGCACTCCAGTGAGCTTCATATTCCTCTTCTACTCGTTTGGCTTCCGGATAGATGAGTCAGAGTAGCTCCATCTCACTGTTGAAGTGAGTCTGACGTGGTTTTTAGACGTACAGCGTGAGCAGGCAGATCGCATCAGAGCGTCGGGTCGCACAGTGTGAGAATATACATGGTGAGCTGTGAACTCATACTTTACAATGAAACCCTGTGGTTTCGTCCTAAAGTCTGAGCTAAAGCTGCGGGCAACGACTAAAAAAAAATTGCACAGTGTATGCTCGACTTAATATGAAGGTCGGATGACCTGAGCATTGTATCTGATGTATCTGATTTTGTACCATATATGGAAGTGGCACAGATCTGATTAGCTTGGGAGGTGAAATAATCAGAGTTGAGCCATTCTGATGTTGAATGTGGCTCGAGTGTAAAGTGACTTGAATTAAAGGGCGCTTCACAAATTGAATACATTTACATAAAATCCTGTCAATCTTTCTGAAATGTTTTTGGTCTCTTCACTTTAATGGCTCTGCAGAACTTTCTGCAGTTCTGCAGATCCACGCTAGAATGCTGCAATTAAATAGCACACGTGTCAAGTCTGTTTGATGAGTAGGAGACTAGACAAATTACTGCAACTCTCTTTACACTGGAAAAAATCGAAATCTAGATAAGTCATTTTTTTTCTTAAAACAAGTGCATTTGTCCCTGGATGAAGGAGGTAAAGAAGACATTTTGCCAGTGAAACTAGACAGTGTGCGCTTAAAATAAGAAAACATAATTGCATTGTCTTGTTTCAAGTGCATATGATCTAATTATCTTATTTTAAGAGGAAAAATACTCATTCGATTGGCAAGCTATCTAATATACTTACTCAAATTAAGTGTAAATACACTTACTTTAAGACATTTTTACTTATTTCTAGATCGTTTTCCCAGCGTATTTAGGGGCATCAAAGTAAAGGGGTTGCATATAAATATATATGCCACTCTTCAGGTTTTGAAAACTAAATCCTTTCGGAGGAAACAGAAAACAGTCCAGGCTCACATCTGGGTGCTTTTTGTTGGACAGTTGGAAAACATTTCTACAAATTATTATGAATTTGGCTCTTCTAATGTTCCAAATGTAAAAAAAGTTAAACAAGTATAAATAGTTAAGCAAGGCCAACATGTTGTCTTTATTTATAAGAGCAAATGAAATGAGAAACTTTCTTTCCCACAAGAAAATAATAATAGTTAGCTGTGAACAGCACATTTCACACACCTGACTTCTAATTGCAGAGTAGATCCTATAAAAGTCATTCACCTCATGGTTTCTTCTGCCTCATATTGGTGTTTATGATGTTGAGCCTGAAGATTCAGGTGAGCTAGCATAAAATAAAAGCTTTTCTGTAAATGCTTGTGATTATGGACGAGTTTTAAATATGAGTGAAAACTAGAAGGTTGTTTAACTTTTTCTAAGCCCTTCGTGGCTAATTGCATAGTATCAAGCATTCCACAGAGATTAGAGAGACAAATCCTTTCGTGGCTCTGGAAGCAGGTCAAAGCAGATACAGAAGTATTTGTCCGACCCCTCTGCTGTCATTAAATAGGAATAAAATTTGAGGAAAAGGAATGAGAAACATCACTAAGAATCATGCACGACGATTCCTATAAGGCTGGAAGAAAATACCAACAAAAATATTCTTTATCTTTTGCACACAAAAAAAGGCAACAACTTGTTTTCTTTTTTTTTTTTTTTTTTTTTTTTTTACATTTTTTTTGTGAAATCACAGCTTCCAATTTTTAAACCTTAGGTGAGATAGTTAAGATGTAAATTCTTACAGTAGATGAACAAAATTTTATCAATAACTAACAATATGAATGAATTGTGCACAATATGTCCCAGTTTGAAGTGTTATAAAAGTTGATATTATGGTTTTATATCAGAAATTAAAAAATTAGATGGACAGTTAAAGCAAAAGTAAAGAGAACATTTTAGACTGACCTCTTGATAAGATCTTCCAAACCACTTGTCATCTTCTCAACCTCTCTGCTGTCAGCCTCCTGCCTCCTCCTGGCCTTCTCAGGGTCACCGTGATGTAGCCTCTCCAGCTGGTACTCCAGCTGAGCTCAGGAAAAAAAGATTCAAGGAGACAACTTAGATACTACGGGAGGATGGATGTTAATTCAATAACAAATCAAGAAAAACATCATCTCTAATCAAGAGTTATTTTATGCTCGTTAATATCTGTTCTACTTTGTAATCATTTATATTAGCAGCAGTGTACAGATCAAATCACCAAATATGCTCTAAAGCAGGGGTAACCAATTAAAAATAAGCAGGGTCGGATTAAAGAAAATCATCAACCAGTAAAGGTCCGGGGACATTTTAAACCCAATCCCTTCCTTTAATTAGCATTTAACACTGAAATAAATTGCAGGTGTTTATGCCTGCATGTTATACATTGAAATTTAAAATAAAAAATATTAAAAAATGAAGAGACCCACAGTGGCAGTCTGTGGGAGTGGGGCTCAGAACCTCAGGATTCTAAGCTCTATGCCCTAACCACTTAACCTGACTCCGCCAGATGGATTTGCTCCGCATATCCATCTAGAAACCTTCCGTTGAAGTAATTTTGGGAAGGGGCGAAAATACTGGTTAGCTGATTGGCCTATGTTGGTGATAGACGGGCCCAATAAACCAATCAGATCAACGAAGCATATGATGTACTAACAGAGCGACGGCGAAAACACAACCACAAGCCAATTGATAGATCAAACTCTTGCCGAAACCAGTCGGGAGAAGAGCAAAAACATCTTTTCCTCTGAGAAAAGCCTCCATAGCAGTGTTTTGCTCTTCTTTTTTTTTTCTTCTTTTGCTCAGTGAAGAAATACTCTGTAATTCCGATAAAACTTGCTCGACAGCCACGCTAACGCTAGTTTCATTGGCTGAAGCCGCCATGTTCTTTAGACTGAACTGTCGCGCTTCTCGTTGCATCACACCTCAACCCGCCTCAAAGCCAAGGCTGATTGGACGTTCGTTTGGTGAACGGCTCCAAATTTTCTTTAACGGAAAGTAGCCAGACTGATCTGCGAGTGAAACCTTGAAAGCTCGCGAGACCAGGATGGTCTCACGAGGCTACTAACCACTAGGGGCTTTCCCTTAAATTAGGAAAGCACTGTCTATATTTTAAAAATGCCAATAGACTTCTCTTGTAAGCAAACAATCCTCTGACACTACAGCAAATTGTTTTTGCAACATCAGTTAATTAATGACTCATACTAAACACCAGCATATTGAACTTTAAACTTTATTTGAACCAGTTGTGTGATAACCAAGAAAATACACAGTAGATATAAACTATTTTAAAATAAAATGCTCTTCTGTCCTGTCTCTAAAACTTTGCACATCTCAAAGACCAAGGAATTCTTCCTCTGTAAACACCACCTTTCATCTTTTACTGTTAACCAACAGATTTATTCTGCAGGTCCTTATTCCTGGTGGTATTGCTGTAGAACTGAATGTGAAACAGTCAGAGCATTGTGATGGGTAATCATGTCTGGCAAGCAATAATCTGGCCTTAGGGATATATTCCTCCAAAGCTCCTGCGCTGTATAATCAGAAAGGGCTAAGTTTTTAACTTAAACAACTGTGTTGAGTATGCACCCTCAGGCAAATGGGATTATTCCCACAATCTGCTGTTGATTTCCTATTTATAACCATCATAAAAGAAACCAAAACAGGGAGTATAATTTGGAGAGGCCAAAGACAACCAAACACTGAACTGACTTCAAGAGCTGAATTTATTATTCTACCCCAAATGTTGAAGGTTGTAAAATACAGACTTACATCTTCAGCTTTCAACTGCAGTTTGGTTTTCTCTTTGGTCAGCAGGTTCACTTTGTCTTCCTCCATCTGGAGATCCTCAATAGCTTGCTGTAGAATGAAACAAGATGTCTTAACCTGGGTTGCACGTGTTCCTTGATCTTTAATTCATCACACAGCTTCACGTCCATCTGACTGCAACATTGGAGGTTCCAAAAGACAGTTTCTTCTTTGCAAAGAAAATGTGCTATGTTACATCAGTCATTCATTAAAACACAAAAACTGTCAGAGTCTGCAATCCCATGAAAACCTATTTTCTTCTGATTTAGTTTCTTATCCACCCCATATTTTGTTTTTGTGCATTCTTGACATTCAATAATGATTAAAGCATTGATCAAAATCCAGTTTTAATTTATAATTAGGTTAAAAACATGAATAAACCAAATAACTGATCCATCCTTTCCTGACTGCAGTAACTCCAGTGAAAAGTTGTGATAACTGGACTTTTACAGTCTTTTTTTAAATCACTGTGTTTTGCTCCTCCTCTCTAAATTAAATGGTTTAAAATAACCAAAATTTGTCATGATCTTGGCAGTGATGACTGTCTTAATGGTTCATTCCATTCACCTCCCTAGCTGCGGCTAGTTTCTCCTTACTGTTGATCTTATCCACCTTCTCCTGCCTCTATTTAAGCTGCTTGCTCCCAGTCATCTGTGTCAGACTATTCAAGCCTTTGGTGTGAGTTCTCTAGAGTGCCCTGTGTGTTGTTCTGATTTTCTGATTCTGACTAGTTCTGCCTTTGGACCTCTGAACCTGCTTGTTCCCATTCTGATCTGTTTGCCTAACCTGTCTTCGGACTCCTACTCGATTCTGTCTGATTACGACCTTGGATCTGTCTCCTGATCTCAACCTGGGTTCCCTTCAGTACCTCTTTGGATCTCTGATCTGCTGGCCCGTACTAATGTTTATCACGTCGACACCGGCTTTGACTTTGCCTTCTGGAAACTCCTTCCTTCCTTTGTGTGCTTGCTTCTCCACATCAACCAGTTCGGCAGCCTTCTTGGCTGCTTTGGCTTCTTCAACGCATGCTGTGGAAAATCATCCGGCTGGATTCCACTCCTTCTTCTCAGCGCAGACTGAACTTTAAAACCAGAGATTCTGGCCCTTTCTGTTTTCTTAATAAACACTTTTGTGAATAACATCTGTCGGCCCACAGTTCTGAGTCTTGACAAAATTGGATGATTTTTGAGCATGTTTTAAATAATGCAGTCTTTGTAGGTGCAGACAAAGGCATCTAGAGACAACCGAATCAAGTCCTGAGCATTGAAGCTCATCCAAATCTTCAGGCCACAAGTTTAGTGTTTTGATGTCATTATGATGTTCTTTTCCTCAAGCGCTATGTTGGTTTTACACCAGGGCCCAGTTTCAGAAAGTAGAATTAATCTGTTCTGAGTATAGTGCAGTTAATTTGCGTCAACTTATTCAACATTTTGGTATGCAGGATTCTTGGTGTCAGGACAGGGCAAATAAATAAGCAAATTCAACCCATCGTGGCAACAGGAGGAAATAATGAATCTCTAAGTGTATATTTCTCATTTACAGAACATTAAAATATCAATGAAAGCAACATTTTAAATAAATATTTCACACAAACAGCGACACTGTTCCTGCTCCAAAAAAAGTTGATTTAAGGTGGCGAGGCTAGTCAATGCATGAGTGGGGATTTGATAGAGAATTTAAGTTATACTTTTTGGCTTTACTCCACAAATACCTGCAGGTCTGTGGATTTTGTCTTCAATTTACCATGCAGATTTCTGACAAAGAGAATGTTGCAAAGATGTGATGGCAGGAGTTATTAAACTAATCTAGAAATGTTTTTGAAGTTTTTGTGTCCATAAACCTCTGTCGTAAAATATTATAGAACTAAACCTAAACTATTCAGTGATCGAAAAGGTAAAAATAAAACTGAAAAAAAATCCATGAGCGCATTTATCCAAGTCCGAATACGAACCCCTGTGTTACACACTGCGGATAGGGACTCACTCCTCTGAGCCAAACAAAAAGGTAAGGCAAAAGTTAAGATGGATCTGATGGGCATTTGAGCTGTATAGTAATAGTGTAATGCTAAATCCATGACAGTTTGCCTTCAGCATAAAAATACGGTGCAGCAGTAAGAACGTATCCTTGTCCACACAAAAATCTATGAATCTGTGATAAAAAAAGATCTAACCTCATAATGAGCATTTGCTCTCCAATATCTACAGGCTCCTGCGGTAAAGGATACCTGATTTCCGAAGCTTTTCCTGATTGCAATCTCTGCTTAAATGTGCAGCAGACTCAGGATAACATCTAGAAATCTTGCTACCATCTTGCTATCTGGTTTTCTGAAATCAAAAATTCTGGGTATGTAGGTTTTTACCCCTAAAGTTATTTCAATTTCCTACTTATCATAACAGCACTGGTGAAAGTAACTAATGGCATCTTCATGGCCTCAGATGATGGACTTCTATCTCTACTTGTCCTGTTAGATCTCAGTGCTGCATTTGATACAGCTTATAAGAATATTCTTTTAGAAAAACTCTCTGTAGATTTTAAGGGAACAGCACATGTCTGACAGATTTCAGTTTGTTCATGACAACTCCTCCTAATTCTCCTGAGATATCTCTATAGTTATGCTGCTATAGGCTTACTGTAGACCGCTGGAAGACATTGGGACCACTTTTAAGGGCGAGAGTGGCGTCAGATGAAGGAGTTTGTCCTGTAACCGGAGTGTTGTCAGTTCAAGTCCCAGATCCAGCTTTCAGTGTTGTTGTGTCCTTAGGCAAGACACTTCACCTGCATGGCCTACTGATGGTGGTCAGAGGGCCCGGTGGCAGCCTCACTTACGTCAGTGAGCCCAAGGGCAGCTGTGACTACAATGTAGCTTACCACCATCAGTGTCTGAGTGTGTGTGTGAATGTGTGAAAGACTGAATGTAATGTTAAGCACTTTGCTCAAGTCCTCTGACTTGAAAAAGCACTATATAAGTACAGACCATTTACCATTTTCATCATTCTGCTTCTCTCTATCCCTGTTCCGCCATTCTGCAGCATTTGTTTGTTCAACCCCTTACTTCATCTAGTCTGTTCCTGCTCGGCTGTGACACCAACCTGGAGAGAATTAACTGTTGGTCTGCTGTCGTCAACACCTATATGGACCGTTTTTTTTCCTATTACTCCTGTTGTTTCTTTAACTGTGACTAACTGTATGTCCTCTTTCATCCTCTGACATGGGAACTGGGTCAGAGCTCATCTGCTTGGCTGTGTGTTTCCTAGACGGGGTCGCCCCACTAGCTAGTTAACAGTTTACTTTGGTAAATCCGGCTCTTTTTGTATATTTCTATCTCCTTAAACCCCAGTTGGCCTCGGCAGATGGCCACTCACACTGAGCCTGGTTCAGCTGAAGGTTTCTTCCTGTTAAAAGATGGCTTTTTGTCTCCACTGTTGCTGTATGCATGCCCTGTGTGAGGGATTGCTCCCGAGTCAATAAGAGGATGTTATCAGCTGGTTTTCCATAGATAGAAAACTTTGAAGCAGTATTACTGTATGATCTGGTTGAGTGGTCTCTTTAAAGTGTCTTGAGGTGACATGTGTTGTGAATTGGTGCTATATAAATAAACTGAGCTAAATGTCATGGACTTTGTTTCTCTTCTGTTTTTAATGATTGATGCTTTGTTTCATGCTGAAAGACCGGTTCTATTTATGATGTTTTTCTTAGTAAATGAAACCATATTTTTGAACAGCTTATTAGATTAACTAAGATATTTCTTTATGGAATACTGAAAAAAGACCACAAAGTGCCTAGAACATAGCACCCCAGGACGGAGCCACTGAGCCATTTGCAGCCCTTGTAATCATTTTGTGTGACCTCCCACCTGTAGGTCCAGAGTGGAAAAAATCCCTCTCTATCGCTTTTATAATACAGCAGAGAGGTTGAGAAGATGTACAAGGGGCCTGATCTTCAGAAGGCTTGAATTTCATAAGACATGTCCAAATGTGTTTGTGTTAAATTTCGTTTGCAATAAAGCACTCAGCATGAGCAAACCTGTTTGTGTGCCTTTATCAATATGCAAATCATATTCTAATGATGAAACTGCACAAATTCGTTGGTGGAGGACGGGCAAATGTAAACATTTACCACCTGCTAAGCAATTTTTCTAAATCTTAAACTTAACATCACCTTTTGGTCTTTTTTAGTACTTTTAAAATGTCATTTAAACAATTCTGCTGTCCTATGGAGGCATCAGTACAATGCCAGCAAAATGTGAGAGATTCTCTGCTCCAGTAAACATATTTGCACCGTCACAAATTACAGTAGTAGAATGACATTATTAAAGAAAGAAGTCTATTCAGTTGAGCACAAATTAATGCAGCAGGAGGGCATACTAACATTCTTAAAGGTTAACCATATCCTCATGTATGATGATATTACATTTTTTCAAATATATTTAAAAAATATATTTTCATAGCAATTTTTGATAGGCTACCTTTGTTAGTTGAATTATAAAACAATTTGGTGTAATCATTATTTTTTAGAAAATTATCATTATTATCTCCCACTGCATGGCTTTGAACCTCATCTTTTTCTATGACTATTCTCAAACTCCTTGTGGAACATGCAATCTGCTCATTTTACATTTGTGCAGCAGTCTTTGTAGATCACAGGAAACATGGCTTCTAATTGCACCTACTAAAAAAAACAAAAAACAAAAGAGCTGCAAGTGCTATTTAGCACGCCTTATTCCGAATCTTATTGTGATCTTAGTCCTTGATTTTGTGTTTTTTTTTTTTTTTTTTATATTATAGGAGGGTCACAACCAACTTTTTATCTTATGAGCAAACCCTCATTTATGAGCAAACCCTAATTTATTAAATTTGGCTAAAGATACAAATGGCTTTCAAAGTAATTTTCTGTTGTTGTTGCTTGGAATAAATTATAAAAAAATAGAAGGAATTTACAATTACATTATTTCCAATAAATTTGGTCCATAAGCACTGTCAGCTTAGTGATTTTATTCCTTGTCCAAGAAGTTCACACACCTCTAGCACAGAATGATCTTTTTCATCAAAAATATTGTTGCTCAACTGTATTTTCTCTCTATCACAGAACCCAATATATGTCTATAGGATCTGCAGGAAATCTGGCTGCCTTTTTTCCTAACCATAGACCTTTACAAGTCCTTAGCGAAGAGACGGTCAGCTCCAATGATTCTCTTGGCGCAGCTGTTTCCTGTGGTTTGGGTTATTCCTAGTTGGTGGATAATATAAACCTGAATAATGTTGCAGAAAATGACTCACAGCTCCTGTGCAAACTTGTTTTTTTTTAGTTGCTGTTTAACTTATATGTCCTGCACATAAGCAGCACAGATAGGGCCTTGTATAGTAACTGCCAGATAAATGTCAGTGATGATACTGAGATTTTATCCAGGGTCATGCTTAGGACAATTTAGAGCAACCAATTAACCTAACAGTCATGTTTTTGGACTGTGGGAGTATCCGGAGAGAACACATGCATGCTCAAGGAGAACAAGCAAACTCCACGCAGAAAGGCCGGGATTCAAACCCGGAACCTTCTTGCTGCAAGCCGGCAGTGCTAACCTCTGCACATCCAATGAGATTTTAGTTAAAAGCAAATAGCTGTCAATGATTATATGACTGTGAACACCCTACTCCCTTTAAAGTTTTCAATTGTGCAGAGAATTAAATTTTTTTTTTTTTTTTGTTGTTGTCTTCTCCTAGTATTATATTAACTGTAAATGGTTTGGCCTCATGTTGAGGGATAGAAGGTAGCAGGGGAAAGCTAATATTTATATGCATGCAATGAAATAAAGCAAACAAGAATGGCAGGGACCGGGAGTCTAAGAATGGTGTTTGGTTGGATTTAAAAGCTGGTCAGAAAATACAGAGATCTACTTCTGTGAAATTAAATTTTTTAGAGTTTATGAAAAAAGACTGAGATCCTAGAGAGGACAGCTGTTTAAGAGAGAAGGTGACCAAAGAATGTTGGCAGAGAGCAAAAAAAACAAACCAAAAAAAAAGGCACAAGGAAGGAAAGTATCCAGGCAGCCGAAAAAATCCACAAAAATCACACTAAAAAAGATAGGAGCTTTTATAGTAAATACCAAGTAAATGTCAATGATAACAATGAGATTTCAGTAAAAGCAAATAACTTTCCATGATTATAGAGCTGCAAACTCTCAACTTCTCAACTCTGAAGCTTTGCCAGAGCTTTAAAGTCCATCCAGTCTGAGGTCCCTTTAAAGTTATCTATTGTATAGAGAAAACAGTTTGGAATCAGACGTCTTTTAGTTCTGTATATTTAGTGTTATTGGTTTGGCGTTGAGGTTAGGGTTAGAAGTTAGTGTGTGCCAGCTAATATTAAAAGATATGCAATGAAACAAAACACAAAATGGTAACAGAGACCTGGAACAATGGAGTCTTAGAATGGTTCTGGCAGCTGGCTTCTTATCTAAGTCCAGGCATGGATTCAGCCATTATCTGAGAAACAGATTGATTGGTTTTGTGGGAGACCAGATGATTTTAGCCAAGTTCATGTATTTAATAAATGTTGTGTGAACCATATGGTAAGGGACGATTACCTGTTGAACTATCAAATTTGACTATTTTATAACCGGCTGCAGCTGTTTAAAACTAAATCCACTTTTCACCAGCGTCATTGTGTTTAAATGGCCTCAGTAACATTTCTTTGGACAATATTGCATGTCAATAAAATAATTTCCAGGTGCCAAACTAGAGGGTGCAGTCCATGTTAGTGTGTGTTTAATGAATGCCATTGATGTTAAGTATTTCCTGAATCAACATGGATGAAAGAGGCCCATGGACCATGGCGCAGATGTCATATAAACCTCTCCTCTCCTTACCTGGCTGAGCTCCACCAAATGGTCTTTCTCCCTCTGGAGCTTCTGCAGGGCTTCGTCCCTTTGCAGAAGCTGCTCCGTCAGCCTCCTCACCTCACTGTCTGACAGCTAGAATAAAAGCTTAAAGTTAGCAATTTTAAAGAGAAGATCGAGGAGTTTTAGCTGATAAAACATGATTCGGTAAGATTAAAGGTTCTAATCTACTCCGCTCTAAACCAGGCATCAATGTCTTCTTTATGCAAACTTGCTTATACAGCAGATTTACACTGGAGTTTCTGCTGATGCACAGTTATTTTCACTTTTTTTTAATAATTGAAACAGATGCTGTTAAATTTTCCCTTTTTTTCAAACAGACATCAAAGCTTCCTCTTAACAGATTGCACACCGACTCCAGCTGAGGACACATATAAGAAGAATGTGACAACAGACTGAGGGAAATTCTAGTAATGGAGAGGTATCTGTTTACAGTTAAATTCCACAACAGATGAGGTAAATCCTTTTCTCCAATGGATCCAACACATCATGTCCAGCTTGTGAAGATAATATCCTAAGAAACCATCTGATAGTTCAATTTCCAGATATCGAATTACTGATGAAACCAGATGTGAGTACAATTCAGTCATTTTCATTCAATAGCACATTTTATATTTTCAAGCAAACAGGAATAATTATTGTAATGATTTAAACAGTCATATATATATATATATATATATATATATATATATATATATATATATATATATATATATATATATATATATATATATATATATAATTTATTTATTTATTTTTTTTACAAAGGACAAAATTTTATCTTAGTAGACTTAAAGCCTACATCAGCCCCAGCAGCTTCACAGACCACCTTTAATCACCTCCACGCACATCTTTTCCTAAACAAAAGATAGCATCTTAATCCCTTAATACACCTCATATAAACAGATAAAGGCTTCAGTGAGAGGGCTGTAATGGAGATGACAGAATAGCCTCTGGCATCTGTGTCTAAGCAAAGAAGACAGGCTTTTGTTACGGCGTTTAAAATATTGCCAACTTGCAGAAAACAAATGTAAATCTGCCACAAGGCATTTTTATAGTGCTATGCAATTTACAACACAGATGTAGGTTAAACAGGGACAGACTGTGGAATGCATATCTGCTGCATAATTGGCAATACAAGCCAAACATATGGTCTAACATGGTTGTATAAAGTTGTCTTCTTCATTACAATTGTTTGAGAGAGACAGATTTTGTATTTTTTTTATTGTCTTATTTTAATTTTAATATTTCTAATGTGGTCCTTGGAGATTTATTTTAAGTGATTACAGGTGGAATGTCTCTTTTCCATCACACTAGCACATTCTTTAGTTTTTCTATTTGAAGATGAACTCTGGCGAGGGAAGTTCAAAACATCAACACTACTTTGGGTCAAAACAAAACATTACAATAAAAGAATTTTTCAAATCTACTTTTGATTTTTCGGTTTCATTTCGGTTTCATCTGAACATTGACCGTTTTTCACTTTTCATTTGTCTACATGGCTAATACAAGGTAAAGTCTTTCATAAAAACCAGACTGTGGCTCATAGTTTTCCTATCAATAAAGTCTCCCTTTGAGACAGTAAATATCTGCAGCTCCAGAAGAGTTATCATGGGTTCTTCTGTGATTATTTCCTCATCTAGCAAAGTTTCAATAATAAATTTCAATATTTCTATGTTTTGGTAGTTTTTCAGATGTGCCATACTCTATAGCAGGGGTAACCAATTAAAACACAGGGGGGTCCGAATAAAAAAATAATCATCAACCAGTAAAGGTCCGGAGGTATTTTTAATCATAATCTGTTACTTTAATCAGGATTGAACACTGAAATAAAATGCAGGTGTTTATGCAACCATTTTATACATTCAATTTTTAAATAAAAAATAGAAAAAATTGAAAATTTTTCCATATCTAAAATCTACATCTTTGGTATATAGGTTTGGTATATCGACAATTTCCTGACTCACTTTTTTTATATAATGAGACCAGTGGGCTTTATGCTGCCCTGCAAGGCTTTAAATTTGGGTTTGAATTGAGACTAAGCCATTCTAAAGCACATATCAAGATGCTCATTCTGAGCCTGGATCCATATTTATTTTTGATTCTGTTCATGGTGGAGAATCCTGCTTCACAGCAGCAGGTTGAGCCAAACATCCTCTAAATATGCAGGGTCATCTTTGAGCACGCCATTTCACTTTTCTTTCCCTGGTTCACCACAGTTCTTCCAGCAGTCCACACTTTCTTTCACTTTTTGTCATCGTCTTCTCCTTCTTTCCCATCGTCCAGCTTCCCACAGGTTTGCCTGCTGTGTCTAAAAGTAGCAGCAGCAGCAACCCAGACTGAGAGCAGCTCATTGGCTAATTTTTATCATGTGCAGCCTGGTCCCAGACGCTCTGGAGGGCTTTACCGTATTAACAGGAGAAGCGGCAGAAGTGACGTTTAGACATCATCGTTTAGACAACATGCGGTAATTTATAAATATTTGATAATTAGAAATTGGGTCCAGATTAGCCGGTATGTGGGTCCAGATCCGGGTCTGCTAATCTGTGACGTCTGCTGTATAGATCGAACAGTTCTCTGTCAGATCTTCAAATCATGTAAGACTGTTTTCACTCATTGCTTCAATCTTCAAAGAGTCTGCATATTTTACCTGTTTGTCTCGTTCGGCCACAGTCAGGGCGCTTTCAAGATCGTCCAGGTCTCTTCTGAGGCTGCCACACTCAGCTTCCAGCCTGTCCCTGTGGAGGACAAGCTGAGCTGAGCAGACCTCCTCCTCCTCCAAGCGATCCGAAAGGCCCGACAGCTGCCGCTCCAGCTCCCGGCGAGCTTTCTCCAGCTCGGCACAGCGCTGCTCGGATGCCTGGACGTTCTCTTGTTCCTGAATTTAAACAGACGTCGACTTAGGTTGAGTGAATTCTCTTTGAATTTTTTCGATATTGTATCAAATGATTTGCTCTTCTGTTTTACAGCTTTTACAAATGCTTTGTTCCACAAAGACCTAAAAGAGATCAAGTAGTTTTATGTTTAAAAGGATGAGGGAGGTCCATGGGAAGAAAAATCCCTCAATTAATAAAAGCAGAAGGGATTAACAGTTTATATGGGGGGGATTAGGGAATAAAAGAGTTTGAGGCAAACACCAACAGATTCATTTCATGCAAAGATCTTACCACAGGGTACAACACAAGACGAGACATATCCACCTTCAACTTAGAGAGATCCCTGTCTTTGTTATTTTATATTTCCCATAGTTAACAAGAAAAAGGCAGGACAATGATCCAGATCAAACCAGATCAGCAAGTCTTTACTTCAGCACCACCTTATTGGTTTCCATATTCAAATCGACCTTAAAGCGAGTTCCTACTCTGCAAAGAAAGGCTCTATCGTAGACCTGTCACTTTAAAGAAAAGCATTTAGAACAGCATACCCAGACATTTGGACAACCACATATCTATCTGCTTTTGCCTTTATGAAATGCACCTAGGCAACAGCTTTGTCTCTAGGTACGAGCATATCCACTCTACATTAATGACAAAGGTCCACATAATTGCTCATTTAGGGAAAAGTCCTTTAGAAACTTAGCAACTTTACATTTTTTAAAACTGTGTTACATTGACCAACACAAAGTAGTGCATAGTTATGAATTGGAAGAAAATTAGGAATATTGTTTTCATTAAAAAGAAAAATCTTCTTTCTTGGATCTATTCAGTAATTGAACAGCAATATCGTGAGTCAGAGAGGAAGTTGGACACAAAGGAAAACAAGACTTATTTTAATGCCTACAGAGTGGAATATAACTCTTTTTCAGAAAACATTTGGTCCCATTCCAAATTAGGTTTGTATAGAGAGGGTTCATAGTAGTGATGGGTCGGGCAACACCGATGCGTTGGCGCATGTGTCGGTCTCATAGAGCGAAACCTGTGTCGACGTGTGTATCGCTACGAAAAAGTCACGTGACAGAAACAGTTCCTGTATCGGTCACGTGACCGATGTTTCGAACTGATTGACAAGCCTTTATAAAGAAGCGCATCTGCCAACGAGATGCATCTGCCAAAACAATCTTCCGTGTTTTGTGAATATAACATTTATCAAAAATTATGGAGCTTCCTCAAGGAAAAAGGTTTCTGCCGTGTGGGACCACTTTGATCTCATTTCGGAAAATAAGGTATTTGTTTTAATTTCCTTGTTTCATCCTGTTCCTCTCAGAGTTTCCACTTGATTTTCTGAGTAGAAATTCATTTCAAAGTGACCTTTAGTTTACTGTCCGTGTTTTTATTTTGCAGGTTAAATGTTGCAATTGCTCAACAGAGCTTGCATATTTAAATAACAGCACCTCCTCAATGCTGAGGCATTATAGGGCCAAGCATGAGCGTGAAATCCATTATACACCCATGATGAACTCAGGTATACAGGTATTTTACAACTTACTGACTTTGTTTTATTGATAATTCTGAATAATTTACACTTTCTCATTTTTAACCATCAAGCTTCCAGGAAGCAGATGCTTGATGAGGCTGTGCTTAATTTCATTGTAAAGGACTGCCAGCCCCTCGCTGTTGTGGAGAATGAAGGGTTCAGGGAGCTGGTTCAGCTCCTTGAGCCCTCATATGTTTTGCCAACCAGAAAGGTTTGTGTGGAAATTATCTAAAGTGGTAGTTTATTCATCAAATTTATTTTAAATATATTGATTTTCTTCTGGTTTGACTTGGTGTGGTTTTCAGACCATCAAACAACTGTTGGCCAAAAAGTACGAGGAGGAACGGGAACGAGTGAAAATGGAAGTACAGCAGGCTGTGGCAGTGAGTATAACCGCTGACATGTGGACATCTGTGAACATGGAGGCTTACTTGGCTCTAACCTGTCACTACATTGATGAAAATTTGCAGCTGTGTACATCTGTGTTAGGTGTGCAATACTTTCCACAAAGTCACACTGCTGACAATTTGGCCCAAGTAAAAAGGGCCATGATGGAGGACTGGGCTATAACAAATAAAGTAAAGTGTCTTGTGACTGACGCAGCACCAAACATGATTGCATGCGCTAGACAACTCCAAATTCGGCACTCAATTTGCATTGCACATAGTCTCAATTTAATTGTTAGAAAATCATGTGATCAGATCCCCACTCTTACATCCATCAGACACAAAGCCAGGCACATTGTCACATACTTCAGATCGAGCACCACAGCCAAGGAGAAGCTTGCTCAAGTGCAGCAACAGATGGGGCGACCAACCCTGAAACTTATCAATGAGGTGCCAACACGCTGGAACAGCACGTATGAAATGCTGTCAAGGCTGCATGATGAGAAGGAAGCAGTGTGGGTATCTCTGGCCTCTCTAAAAACAGATTTGACTCCACTTACAGCTGATGAGTTTACCATCATAGGAGAAACACTACTTGTGCTTGCTCCTTTCCATCAAGCTACAGTGGAGTTGTCTGCAGAGAGGCGAGTGTCAGGATCAAAGGTCATCCCAATGATGAAAATGCTCTATATGGCACTTGAGCGTAATGCTTCAACCTTGCACACTGACACAGCACGACACCTACATGAACACCTGAAGCGTCGAGTTACAGACACTGCTTCCAACCTGGAGTCATTAAGTGTGTTGACCCTGGCAACACTTCTAGACCCCAGATTTAAATCACTTGGGTTCCACAGTTCCTCTAAGTGCAATGAGGCCCTCAGCAGACTGCGGACAGAATGTGCCTCAATAGTTGGCAGCTCAAATGAGCCCCAGCCGGGAACATCTTCACAACAGCTGTCTGCCCCCACTTCAGGCATGATATTGAGCATCATTTCTTTGTTGTTTGTAAATCATGTACTAAAATACCTTTTTTTTTTTTATTAGATGACCTTTGGGAACATTTTGATCTCGAAGTGGGGAGGCAGACCAAAAGTGCCACAGCTGATGCCATCCTTGAGGTGCAGAGATACATGGCAGAGGGCAATATTGCGAGGTCCCAGGATCCTCTTTTATATTGGAAAAACCAAAGGACGGTTTATCCAAACCTCTTCCGCCTGGTCTTAAAATTCTTGTGCACTCCAGCTTCATCTGTGCCGTGTGAGCGGGTGTTTTCCACAGCTGGAGAACTAGTATCAAAAAAGCGCAACAGACTGAATTTTAAAACGTTGCAACAACTTATTTTTTTGAATAAAAATTTGTAAAAAAAAATACCAGTGAACAAGCATCTTCATTTACTACATGTTTACTTGGAGATTATTACATTATGATGCAGGTTCTCATTATTCATTGACTGTGTCTAAAATATCAAATATGTTTTAATAATAATACAATGCATCATACAATGAATTGCATTATATTAGTGTATATAATAGGTCATCAAATCAGTGTCAGTTAACTCTGTCAACTAGGTTGCCTGTAGGGATTTTTAATGTCCAGCAGGTGTCAGTATTCAGTGACACAGTATCGACACTGTATCAATACAGTTTGGTAATGTGTCGAAACGTTTCATGACGCCTCATCAACCCATCACTAGTTCATAGACCCTATACCTTTCATATTCAGAAAGTTAATTTTATGAGCGCTACTAATTCACTGCACAATTTCTTTTTCCTTTGCTTCTGCAGCCAAAAGCACAACAGTTTAAGTATAAAAAAAACAATATTGTAAAATGCTGTTATGCTTTTATATAAAATTCAAGATGTTTTATGTTAGTAAAAAAAATTATCACTTTTTAAACCTTGTAAGAGTAGCTGTTAGCATTAGCCACAAGGGCCACTAACTTAAGCTACCGAGACAGTTATGTCCTGTTGGTATCATTAGACTAGTTTACACACTAAATACAAGGAATTCTTTTCAATTTTATCATAAACATCTAATCTGAAAAAACAAAGCCTGTCAAGTTCACTTTGTACTTTGTGTGTCCATTACTGTAGGTTAATTGCATTTAGTCCAATTTTGGATTAATTCTTTATTTAGGTGAAATCATTAGGTTTTACAGGAAAATCTTAATATAAAAATAAAAAAAGGCTTTAAAACATACTTTAAATTATAAATACTACATTTTTACCATTTTCTACTTTTTCTCTAAGCAATCCAAACTTCCAATTCTGAAAAATAAGGGCTGAGTTTTTACAACTACATATTCTAGACTTATTCTCAATAATCTACCACCCATATTGGGTGTCATACCCACAGCTGCTAATCTGTGCTCCAGTGTGGTGCTGTAGCAGTCCCAGTCCAGGTCCTCCGATTCTGGTTCAGGTCCAGATTCCACTTTGGTCCCATTGGCGTCCTCAAAGTCATCATGAAGGGAGTGGTATTTCCGACTTTTCCCTCTAGATGTCATATCAGCAAACACTAACTGGCTTGATAGCTTGGTTTACAGGCTTGACCTGTTTTGCGGTGCTGGAACTTGTCTAAAAGTGCTTCCGAGCCGTAATCCTTTATTCCCCCTTCTTCCTCCGATTTGTGTGCAGTGTTTGGAGTCTTCCAGGTGAGTCTGAGAAAGATTATTTTCAGTCCCCAGGGGTGCTCCAGCTTCTACACTCCTGGCAAATCCTCTCTCTCACTTCATTCACTTTGCTTTTATCTCTCCTTCTTCTTATTTTCCTTCAAAATCAACCTTTCATCAGTGTTTCATTTCAGAATGCACTGATACACCACTGGAATCCTTCATTTCCTATCAAAGTCTTGTTCTTGTTTCTCTGAAAGTATCCTTTGTGCATTTCCCCCCTTACATTGTTTTACCACATCCTTCTGCTCTCTTCTTTTTAGTCTCCTCCTCCAGAAACAGGTGGCTTTCTGCTGGGAAAAGAGGTGGTCCTCAGGTATCCCCCTTCGAATAGGAGTGGCTGTTCTGAGAGAAAGAAAGTTCTGTAGATTTGGTCTTTGTAACCACAGGAACTCTGCTTTCACCAAACCGGCCACATTATATAAAACCCAGGAATACAAGAGCAGAATACCAGAGTAAGAATGCATTTTTCTTCCCCCAGTCATAATTGACATGAATGTCTACTGGGCTCACACCCACATGGTCACCCACAATGCCGTGGCTTCATCTTAAAAAGAACAACAAGGCATATTGTGCCTCAGACCAAGCATGTCGCTCTTTTTTCTAATGACGTCACACAGACTAACACAAAGAAGACCAAGCATTTATCGATCTACGGCAACATGATTGAGGTCCAGGAGATTAAGACAGTACGTTGGCACTGACTTCTACCAGTTGCTTCAAGAATTTGTGAGGCTTCTTCTGACTGGATCTGAAGTTTTAAAAAAGTGACCTATATTTAAGTATCTCTTTTTGTAAATATGTTATTTGTATTCTGTGGCTGTTTATTAGTAAAACATTTTTATGTGTGTGCTTGGGAGATATTATTTAATTGAATTGAAAAATTAGCCTATAAAGTTACATGCACTAACATGCATAGTTAGATGCATACATGCATTTTTAATATAACAATGTCTGCAAGTGTTAACGATATTCTATACGAAAACTGTTGAAGAAACTTAAGAAATTTAGCTACTTTCAGCACAAATATAATGTTTTGCTTGAATGAATCTAAAACTGGTCAAAGAACCTTTATGCAACACAACAAAACCAAAAAAGAAAGAAATTACTGCTTTTCTACAAATGCATTGGCTTTCCACCATAATGTCTCCTGTGCTCAAGTCCTTTCCTCCCTGCTTATCTGAAGACTCTGGTCTTGCTCAATCCATGGCCAAAGAAAAGCCCTTATGTCCAACATATCTGATGAGCATGTCAATAAATCTTGTAAAGGAATGCATCAAAACCTAAAAAACAGGAGATACTTAATATGTTTTCCCAGATTCCACTACGTGATCATTACAGAATTAGATGGTAATAATGACCTGGAAAAGAAGCCGGGGTTACACAGTAATTACTATGCTTGGAGCAGCGGCGCCTCATGCAACCCGTATTCTTGTAGAGTGTCAAGATTTTGAAATATTGTCTCCATAAATCAAAACTCTGGAATTTAACTGCTTGTTTCCTTTCAACATCCACACAGCAGGTGAGTGATAAACCCCGAGGAAATAATAGGCTGTAGGTTCAGCTGTCAAATGATTTTTTTTCTGAAGATATCACTGAGTTTTTTTTTTTAATAAAACAGACCTATCTAGAATTGAGGTTGTCTTCATCTTAAGCTTCAAATTGGACTCTGTTTAGATTTACAGTATAGATGCTATTTAAGGGTGTAACTATAATCACAGAAGTGAGGGTGGACTTTTTTTCAATGTGTAAAACGTTCCTACTTTTTCTGTTCCATTAGTATGTCCCTGGACCATTCATAAAAGTAAAAACATTACCCAATGCTAAGAATGACTCAAAATGTGAAATAAACAGTTCATAAAATAAATAGGCAAAACAGTAACATTTATTAGTACTGGACTCTTTCTACAGTTATCGCTGTAAGGATTACAAGATAGACTCTTTTTACAGACTGGCAATCTACTGTATAGGCTTGGTCCAGTGCCTCTGTGAAACTGGTCCTGGCCCCTGTACGGAGGACATGATACTAAATTTCAGTTTGTAAATGAGACCTGAACTTAGGGATTACACAAAGCACTAATTCATGTATTTTTTTGATAAACCGTATAGGTCAGAGGTCATGGATTAGCCAGCAGGTGGGTCCGGATCTAGTGAAGGTACCAGATCTGCTTGGGCCCTGCCACTTCTTATGACATCAATATATGGCAACTCTACTTGGACAAACTGTATTTCACCCGTTTCTTAAGGATGAAATCTCTTTTAGATTTTCAGCATATTATTACCTTTATTTGCTATTATTTCACATGTCTTTGGCGATCTAAAGTAGCCGAAAGTAGAAAACAATCATCGTCAGTCTTGAAGGAAAGCACTGCCTTCTAAGACAGACTGAGCTCTGCCATTTTACAAGATGACAAAAAAAGTCTCAGCTTATTTTTTTTTTCTTTTTTTAAAGATCTGAAGGCAGAGAAGGACAAATGGAACATCTTAAAAAATAACTTTCGTAAAAATTTTATACAAAACAGTTATTCTACTTGTAGAGAAACAGTTGTTGTTGCTACAAATTCAAAAGTATTACGTAATATGTCGTCTGAAGTAGTACACACCATTGAAGGAAATCTTCAATTTCTTATCAATTTCTCGCATGGAATAGCCTTCATTTCTAAGAACAAGAATACACTGTCAAGTTTCAGATTGAGGCCCCGTCCACACGAAGTCAAAACGAACACGAAACGCTAATATTTTCCAGAACGTTTGTCTTAAAGACGGAGATGTAAAATAAATGTGATCGACCACATGAATGCACGAAAACGCTGCAAAATGTATGCCAGGCCTGTAAGTGGTGCTGTGGTGCCAAAGCAAAAATAGGCGAAAACAGGCAACGAAAAGTTGGGCATGCGCAGTAATATTTATACAACAACCAAACCGGAAATCCCCTAGAAGTTTGCCCTGCGGGTCCATTTTTGTGGTTCAGTCAAATTCAGGTGCTGAACTATGTCGTCGATATTGCTCTGTTCTTCCTGGAGATATTCCAGAAGAAGAAGATTCTGTTGTAAGCCCGACAGCAGGGTGAGTAGCATAAGCAGCAACCATTCAACACAGTACGGCGCTATTCTTGTTGTGATACTGTGTCGAGCATGCGTGTTTAGAGGCGACGCTATGACGCATGAGTGTAAGAAAAAAAATGCGGTCAGAGCTTAAAGATGGAAACGCGAAAACGGTATTTCAAAATCTTCCCTCTCTGAAAGCTTAATAAAAAAAAGATTGTTTACAGACCCCCGAAACGCCGGCTTCGTATGGATGAGAGGCTGGTTTGGTGAAAAATTTGTGAATTTAGGCCACGGTTTGACTTCGTGTGGACGGGGCCTAAAATTCTCTTTTTCTGGCCATTTTAGCGTTTAATTGACCCCACAAATGTGATGCTCCAGAAACTCAATCTACTCAAAGGAAGGTCAGTTTTGCAGCTTCTGTAATGAGCTAAACTGTTTTCAGATGTGTGAACATGATTGCACAAGGGTTTTCTAATCATCAATTAGCCTTCTGAGCCAATGAGCAAACACATTGTACCATTAGAACACTGGAGTGATAGTTGCTGGAAATGCGCCTCTATACACCTATGTAGATATTGCACCAAAAACCAGACATTTGTAGCTAGAATAGTCATTTACCACATTAGCAATGTATAGAGTGTATTTCTTTAAAGTTAAGACTAGTTTAAAGTTATCTTCATTGAAAAGTACAGTGCTTTATCAAAAATAAGGACATTTCAATGTGACCCCAAACTTTTGAACGGTAGTGTATATTTATATGGAAGGTGTGTAATAACCTGATTTTGTTGATACGATGAAATTCCACAGAAACCCAGGTATCAACATCCAATCAGCTGCCTAAATCCTTATTTTATGAAATGTTCAGGCAGGTGGCCAGACAATTTGATGAATCCATTGATCAACTGCATCATTGCTCTAGACACTTGACTAACACCTCAACAGACTGTATTTTTCCCAGACTGTACGCTTGCGTATTTCTATATAAAACGAGGAAGAAAATCAAGCATAACTTGGCAAACTAGAGATATCAGAGCAAAAGTCTGTTCTTTGAAATTTTGCGGTATAGTTTAAAGAAATTCTGGAGTAACAATAAGCTTATCCGATCTGCAGCATATGGTATTTCAAGACAAGGGGTAGAGAATGATTTATTTTTGAAGTTAAGCCAGCTACCGGACTGTTCTTGGAAAATGTAAGAAATTACAGCGAACCAGTGAGCTTTACACAAACAGGTGTATGGAAAGAGAAATCTGTAATTTAACAAACTAGAAGTTAGCAGTATATTTTAAATGGAGTGAAAAGGGGAACAAAGGAATATAAGTCAATTAGGGGGATGTTGCCCTAACAAGGCACGACTGCATCAAGGTTGATTAACAAGCAGGAATTTCTCCTGTCCCAGAAGAAAAATGTCTTAGGTGTCCCTCCAGCCTGAGCGGGTGAAGGCTAATGAAGAACAGGATAAATTTCCACTGGAAACCTGGAAGGCTTCCTTACACACCATAACTGCACTAAATAGCTCTGACATGGGGTCACATTTCTCAGTGTAGTCAGATCTTGGGATTCAATAATATGAATTATAATGGCTGATCTGTCTCCTCTGTAGATTAATGTCATTATTTATGGATGACTAATGTAAGCAGAAACGAAAAACATGTTTGGAGCCAGCGCACACCTGGACTGTTGCAAGAAAAGTGCAGATTAACCAAGTGTGATTTAATGAACAAAGTGACTTTACAGACAATTTTCTTGAAAAATAATCTCTATTTGCACAGAAGAGCATTGACCCAGTTGTCATACCCAGATGGCAGTGAAACCCCAAATCATAGCCCAGCTGCTTAATGCAGCTTCTAGTGTGTAAAATCGAAGTCTTATGGGGAGTTGGCTAAGCAGTTCAGCTCCAGTAATAATCAAATGTTTCAGACCAGATGCCTTTCCATAAACACTGACGATAGCACTGCTGATCCATAGTTTCACACTGAATCCCATGCATTTTGTAGAAAAACAGATTTCCCATTCAAATGGAATATTAATGGAAAAACAATGAGAGAAACATATTATTATCTTGAGAAGTATGTCTAAGTTAAATAGGGTCTCCTTATTTAAAACTTCCCTAAAAAGATCGTACCTCACTTTTACATCAAATATGATAATACATGGCATCTGTACATAACTGGGGCTAATTTATTTATTTCATTTGCATGTATGTGGGGGTGGAAAAAAAATAACAAAACAATGTTTATTTGGCCTTTTGAAAGAGGGAATAATCTCAGTAGTAAATTATTTAATTTTTTATCCATAAAAAGCCAGCATGATTAATAATCCAT